GCACCTGGGCTGACCTCCCAGCTGACCTCTGCCCAGAGCACCTGGCCTGCAGGACATCTTTTGCTGTGGCCCAGTTGGGGTTTTGCTTCCCTGAGTTTTAGTCACCTACAAACAACTGAAAATATTAGATGAAAGATTCTAGAAGCAAACACTTTAGAAGGTTTTATTTAATTGGAGCCCATTGTGAGGAGTGTGACAATGCTTGGACTCCCTGACTCTGGACATCACCACTGTCAGTCACTTAGGAACCAGCCAGGGACCAGATCAATTGTCAACAGAAACACTGTGCTCATATTCAAGTGACCCTTATTCTGCGCCGTAATCCTAACCCAAAATGCAAGGGCTGGGATGCTGGCAATTTTATTATGGTATATGAGTGGTTCTGTTTTATTATTCTTTATTGTGGTTATTCTCTTACTGTGCCTAACTCCTGCACTTCATTTCATCACGTGTAGGTAGAGGGAAAGCATCACACAACAGAGGGTTCAGGGCCAGGTGCTGTCTCAGGCTTCCACTGGGGGTCTTGGAATATGTTCCCCACAGACCACAGGAGCTTGCTTTATTTTAGACCTGTCAGGTCTCAGCTTTGCTTCTTCCTGCCGATTCCTCCCTCTGCCGACTGTTTCTGGCTTCTACATTTCCTGAAGAAATTCGCTTGCATTTCTCTGCCTGCAATAAACCGGATGTTTTTCTCTTTGCCCTGAGGGGAGGTAGAAATGTGGTCACTGGACAACTGGGTAGTAAAATGGATTCTCCAAGGGGATGGACTGGGGCAGGTTCTCTTTACACATGCCCGGAGTGCCTGGCATCATGTGCCCCCCCATTCCTCTATGGATGCAAATTGCTGCTAATAATATCACTTGACATTTATAAAGCCCTTTGCTTCATCTTCACAACAGCCTCAGGATGCCTGCAAAGCCCAGCCAGACTCTCTTTCAAAGTCTTCCAAACAAATGCAGATACAGCATGCTTACCAATGGAGGATGCTGAATTTAACCATCTTCATGCGAGGCAGAGCAGAGATGGATTTCTACTAAGACAATATTTTGGTGCTACATCAAAGGGTACCAAAGATGGGATCTTGAGGTCAGATTCTAGAGCAGAATGATACAGAGGGACTGAAGGTCTCTGCATAAAGAAGTCTTTCCAAAGAGATGAGTTCCCACCTCACACAGCACCCACCAGGGCTCATCCTAGATCAGGGAGCAGAGACTCAGCTGAATGAGCGTACCTGGGAGAGTAGAAAGAGCACAAGAATGCATTGCAGGATGGTAAGAAAAGCCGGGCATCCTCGACAGAGCCTGGCACAGTGGCACACCCCATCTCAGCACTTGGCAGCAAGAAGGACTGAGCCAGAATAGTCATCAGCTTCAGGTCAGCCTGGGATACAAAGCAAGATGCTAGGGTGAAAGAGGAGGAAAGGAGGGAGGGAGGTGAGAAGGAAGGAAGGAAGGAGAGAAGGAAGGAAGGAAGGAAATCTTGTTATATTTCTCATCCTTTGAAAAATTCTAAATATATACTGTTAAACTGAAGATCTCGAGCCCAAGGATATCTAAAATAAAAAAAAAATTGTCAATTGCTAGACACACTATCCAGAAAAGGGACCAGGTCCTGGGCCAAGTGTCTACAAGTTCCCAGCAGCAAGCTAAGTAGCCCCTGAAAAATGTCCTCCATGGAGCAGAGTTGAGACCCTGATTTTTTTCCTTGAGGAAGGGAAGCCTGTGGGAGGTCCACCCCACCCTCACCCCAACCACCACACCCCCACCACCCTATCCCTACCCCACACCCACACCCACACCATCCCCACCACACCCCCACCACCCCATCCCCACCCCCAGCTAAAGACAGGAGGGGCAGATAACACAGAAGGTAGAGCCAGGTGGATCTCTGTGAGTTCAAAGCCAGCCTGGTCTACAGAGCGATTTCCAGGACAAGCACCAAAACTACACATAGAAACCCTGTCTTGAAAAAACAAAAACAAAAACAAAAACAAATAAAACTTACCTGGGGATCAGAGGACAGAGCCAGCCACTAGATTGGACATAGAGGCCAGACAGTGACAGCACACACCTTTAATCCTATCACTCTGGAGACAGAGAGCCATCTGGATCTCTAGAAGAAAGATGTCGGGACAAAAGGTATATAAGGCATGAGGAAACAGGACCTCACTGTCTCGAGACCGAGGATTTCGTAGAAGTAAGAACTTGTGGATGGCTTGCTCTGCTTCTCTGATCTTTCAGTTTTCACCCCAATATCTGGCTCCAGGATTTTTTTTATTCATAAGACCGTTTAAGATTCATGTTACAGTAGCCCCAGGTGTCTTAGAACTTACTTTGTAGACCAAGCTGGCCTCAAACTCAGAGAAACCTGCCCATCTTTGCCTCTCAAATGTTTATGACACCAGGCTGCCACCTAACCCTAGTTAGGATTTGACAGTCTTAAGAATTGGCACCAGAGTTATCTCATGGATGGAAACAGTTTTGGTTTTGAGAGCTATCTGCCAGATGTAGTGGTTCATGCCTGGAACCTCAGCCACATGGCAGGTTGAGAGTGGAAGACTACAAGTTCAAGGCCAGCGTCGACCATATTGTGAGTCTGAAACCAGTCTGGGTGACAGAGCAAAATGAAAGCCAGCCTGGGCCGCAGGATGAGACCCTACTTTAATTAATTAAAATAAATTCACCATTACTGATTTAGCTGCTGTTGGCTTTGAGATGGGTCCAGAAAGAGAGGCTGCTGGAGGAGGTAGGGGTGGGAAGGTGGGAGGGACCCTGTGGATCGGTGGCAGTGGCCTCTTTCCTGTTCTCTGACTCAGGGGTCTGGGTTTTCTGTGCTGGATTCTCTGGAGATCACTGCAGCTCTGAGTCCGAGGAGCCTTCAGACATTTATTGGGAAGAACCTGCCATCTGCTGGCCAACTTGAGGAAAACGACAGCTACGTTAGGCTAGGAAGGAGCCCAGGAAGAAGTGTGAAAGGTGGACTGTTGTTCGGGGGAAGGCATCCTGTTGGTACAGCAAGTTAGAGCCACACATCAAGTGTGAGAGGGGCAGGGCCCGGGGGTGGAGGAATTTTCAACAGGCAGCTCTGGCCCAGCAGACGCAAGAGGAGATGGCACTAGCTGCCTCAGTTGCTCTTTGGGAGTCAGAAAGCAAAGAAAGAAGAAAGCGGAGTGGAGGGAGAAAATACCTAGGCAAAGGGCTGCTGAGAGAGAAGAAGCGTCCACATGCCTTGAAGGAGAAACAGGTGCCACTGGAGACGCCTCGGGGCGGAAGGGGATGAGAACCTTTCCCCATCTTCGGTGTGGATGGTGCTGTTTGCTCCCGAGATTGCATGGCCCTCCTGCAAAGCTGTTCCTCCTGCCTTGAGCATGCTTCCCGACCCCGTCTTTCTTATCTAAGTAAGTATTTGTTTGCTGCAGGCCCAGGAAAACCTCTGCAGCGCCTCCCCCAGGGAAGCAAGCTCTAAGGAACCTCATCTCAGCTCTTTGTCGACACCTGGTGCCGCTCTGGAATAGCCTGCTGACTTGTTTACTGTTTACTTATTGCCACAAGAGTCCAAAACCACGCACCACCAGGCAGGATGTCATTTATCCCCAGCTCTATCCCAGTGTGGGGAACTGTGGGAATGGTTGGCTTACTGGATTCATTTTTCTTGTGATATTTGGGGAATTTGGAGAGCATAATTTGAAAACAAATTAAAATATGCTTTGAAATGTGTTTCCCTAGAGATCTGTCTAGAAGTTGAAAATCATTTCTTTTTGTATTTTAGTATCTACAAACACACTTGAGAGGCCTGCTGGCATCCATATCCATTCAGCCTACTTGTAACAAAAGCCTCTTAATTTAGAGCGGCAAGCCCTCCATCCTGGCCACGTGACCTGGAGAAGCTGACCCTACCCTCCTGCACAGAAATTAAGATGTGACATGAGTCTGGCAAATCCAATTTCTAATCGCTTAATACGATTGGTTCAGAAGAGAGCACATGATTCAGCTGACCCAATGAGATGCATCCTCACTTCAAACCTTGACTAGGAATCGCTGAACTGGGTAGGCCATGAGTCTGGGGTTTCTGGTCACTGTGTTGCCACCAGGAAGTGGAAGGTGGCTAGAAGTAAAGCCAAAGGAAAGACAGTGTCTTCAAGATCAGTGTCCTTGCTACACTGGCCCCAACCCAGAACATTTTCTGGACTTTCCTGTTCCATGAGCCAATAAAGTGTCCTTCTGGGAGTCAGCCTGGAGGAGTCCCTGGTTCCTGAAACTGAGCAAAACATACGGGACATACAAAGCAGAACGTGAGGCTTTCCCATCTTAGTCTTATTTCTTACAAAATGAACATGCCATTGGCAACCCTTCTGATGCAGCCAGAGGACACTGTGAGCTCTTATGTTATTGTAAAGATCCCCACCGTGTCAAAAAAAGGGCTGGGATCCCAAGATGTAGGAACCCCAGAGAGGTCTGTTCATGTCTTGCTGCCTGCCTGCTTCTCCTTTTTTTTTTTTTTTTTAAATCCCTGCTCCCCTCACTGCATTTCAGCTCTGCTGCCTTCCATCTCTAAACAAGAGGCCATGGATCTGCAGTTGGCCGCCAGCCTCTAAGAAGTTCCCATGTCTCCTTGGGTGAGCAAAGAGCTGGCTATTGCCAGGAGGTTTGCAAACAGTGACTCGGGTGATTCTGCGGGACCTTGGGTCTGACAAACTCCGCGACCTGAAAAATGAAGCAAGCACAATGCCTTATTTGTGTGCTGTTTTATTTATGTTCTCTGGTGTTTTTCCATGGGCACCCCTCCCTCAAGATGGCCACAACCCTTTCACCTCGCTGATAAGGAAATGATGGTTTATATGTGCTAAATGGCTTGCTCGAGGTCACAGAAGCATAATCTATGTGAAAGCCAGGCTAGAATCAAAGACCAAGGCAGTAAGGGCAGACACCTAGCTCTCTTGGATTCGGCTTTGGCTCCACCTTTTCCTGCCACAAGGGGGTGCATCAGCGCTGATTCAATGTGCTAGGCCGGCACCTAATCTTTTATTGTGCCTCCTTCTGGAGTCGCTTTCTTCAACGGAAATGTGAACAAAACCAAGCAGCCTCCTGTGGCAGTAAACAGTATATTAAATCATGTGTATGGCACAAATAATTTCTCGATAATTTTTCGTTTTTACTGCCCTTTATACCAAATCATAATAGATTTGGCCAAGTTCGACTTTGATGTATCTAATCCCCAGATAGTCTGTGCACATGCTGCTCATTCCCTATGAAGATTTTCTCCCTTTTACTGACATGCAAGGTCCTGCTTATTCTTCCAGACCTCACTTAAACAGTGCCACTCTCTCACCCTGGTTCCCTAAGCAAAGTCTCATAGAGATGATCTAACAGCTGCCATCTTACCTTGTAATTCATCAGATCTTATACCTACACAGAACCCCCCTTCTAGACTGTGATACAAGCTCCTAAGGGAGCAGAGGGAATGTCCCCATGGTACAGAGGGTTGAACCTAGGGCGTCATGCATGCCAGACAAGTGCCAGCAACAAAGCTATGTCCCCAGGTTCTTCCTCATTTTGAGATAGGGTTTCAGTTGCCAAGACTGAGCTTGAATTTGCTATCTTCCTGCCTCAGCTTCCCAAGGAGCTAGAATCACAAGTCTGTGCCACCATGCCCATCCAGAAAATGTGCTTCATAAAAGAGTCTCCAGTAGTTATCACAGTGTCTAGACCTGGTAGCAGCTCAGAAAAGGCCAGTTAAGTAGACTGGAGGAGGAAAGATGGAGGCTGATAGTCAGTGTAACATTTCACCTCTAAAAATCTTTCTCTCTCTCTCTCTCTCTCTCTCTCTCTCTCTCTCTCTCTCTCTCTCTCCCTCTCTCCCTCCCTCCCTCTCTCCCTCCCTCCCTCTCTGAGATTCTTTTATTTATTTTATGTATGTGAATGTTTTGCCTGCATGTATGTCTGTAAACCACATGCATGCCTGCTACCTACAGAGATCAGAAGAGGGCATGGGATCACATAGAATTAGAGTAACAGAGAGTTGTGAGCTGCCATGTGAGTGCTAGAAATTGAACCTAGGTTCTCTGGAAAAGCAGCTAGTGCTCTTAAAATCCAAGCCATTGCTCCGAATCAGACCCGTCTTCCCGCCTCCCCGCCATTGCCCCTTTACAGTGCATGTACTATCAGAAGTAGCACTCAGCTGGAAAAACTCAGTCCCCAAATTGAGCTCCAAGGAAGCAGATGTTATGGTGAAGATGCTGGAATGTTCAGTGCCAGCTGCTCCGGTGGCTGGCCTGCCTGGACTCCTTCTGCTTCCCCCTACCCTGAATACATCTCCTGTGCAGAGTATCCTAACTGTATCTCAGCTCCCGACCAAAGAGACGAGAATATGTCACGTGGGAACACTGAAGAGGATGGTGCCCCAGTACACTGCCTGCT